AAACACACACAAACTTAATTTTAAATGCAAAATCAAAAGGAGATAAGAAGAAAACAGGCATTGGATATTCTCTAATTTGAAATCTAAGTGATATTGTCCCGTCATGTAAAAAGATAATTTAATTATAAATTAGGTTTATATTAACATTAAGTTTAGGTTGTGACTAGCATGACAAGATTAGGATTTATTATACATTACCCGGTCAATTTTTTTATTGTGTTCTTGTTAATTTAATATATTTAATAGTTAATTGATTAGTTATAAATGATGTTATTTGTTTTTTTTCTTTTAATTTTTATAGCGATGAATAAATTTTTTTACTAACTGAATTTTAGCCTTGTAGTTTTGTGCTTCCAAGCACCCTAAATAATTCACCATTTCTCCGCATTAAGCAATTGGGGTTGGTTGTTTTTTTTTTTTACTGTTCCTCTATGTGGACTAAAATAAGCTACCCCAATTATATTTGATACTGTCTAGCTCAACTAAAAAATTAGTCAAATTAAACAAACTAGTATATTTGACTAATTCCCCGAATTTTTGATATAAGCAATGAGAGTTATAAACAGTTAAAGCAATTACATTTCATTATCTAGATGGATCATACATGACCTAAATTTCTGACAGTGAAGCTGGATAACGTTTACAAACAGAAGCCATCGACCAGTTGTTGTCAGAAATTAAAAGATAATAGAAAGTGAATGGAAAGGAGACGCTGAGACGCACCATCACCATATGTACAAATAACAATGATTATGGAAGCTTAAAAATCCCTTGTATTAATTTATTAAAAATCCTAACAGCTCATCATTTATGTTTATTCTTGTCGTGCTTTACTTACTCATTAAATTTATAGATATTAAGTGAGTCATGAGGTTATTTTTGTGATACCTTATCGTTGCTTTACTTACTCATTAAACTTATAAATATTCAATGAGTCACGAGGTCATTTTTGTGATACTTTGTCTGCTCATTAAATTTACAGCATATTTAATAAATCATAAAAATTAATCATAATATATGTAAACCGACCCGAATATCTTATATAAATTTTTTTAAAAAAAATCCTAACAACTCTTGTAATAAAATATTGTTCCCACATCGCCAACCATTTTGTATCACATAAAACCTCTATAACTAAGAAAGAACACCCAATATGCAGCCAAAATTGACCCCAACATTTTAACATAGACAACTAGAGCTAGCTAGACAAGGTTATGACATGAGCATGCGTATCCCTATTGTTTAATTTGATCATATCGACACCACTAATGTCCAAATCCAGTGATTTTTGGTGGAGATCAGCTTCAAGCATCGGCATTCTTGATGCTTTCACATGATGGTACATGACGAGGGATTATCTTCGCAAACATATTCACATCTGCACGCATAGTAGCCGCCGCAGCCGCCACACAACTATCATGCACTGGCCTCCCATAAATTTCATAACTTGGGGGTGCCGGCCTATCATAGCCATGATAACATGGGCCTCCACTGATCCCTCGATAGCATTGAGCACAGCATGTCCTTGGGTGGACTGGTTCAACATTAACCACTTTCAGCATCTCTGGTTCGTTTTGTTTTGATGGTTTAACAATAAGGTTTTTCGGCTTGCGTGGTCCTTTGGGATTGTCATTGCCATTGCCATCATCTGCTCCCTGTGTCAAGTCCGGTTGTTTGCGTGAATGACCAGTACGGCATAAAAAGAATAAAAAGCCAGATGAATGGGCTAAATAAAAGATAAATCGAACCCAAGAAAAGAAGAAGAAGGAAGTATATCAAAATCTTCACATCCATCCATGCACACACCTTTTCAGCCATGGTTTTGTCCAAGCCTTGATCTGAACCTGATGAGATGATAGAATTGAGAGCAGAGCGAAGGAACGGACCAGAGGGTGAGAGGGAGATTGAGATACCAAAACGAGGTTTATAAAATGAAGATCGATCACGATTAAGTAGTAGGAGTATGGGGACGCAGTTAAACACCGTGCAACGAGAAGCCGATAAGAAGAGAACACGTGGAATGGGTGTTGAGCTTGACTTGATATTGTCGTTTTATTTTTAATTGCTGACCCTCCAATCATGCACATGCATGTGCTGGCTTTGATGGACACATCTCACCTTCAATTTTGTTAATCATTTCGAAGTTTGCAGTGCATCCTACGGTGCATTAGTTTAGTCATGTCAATAAAGGAGCCACGCAACCCCCATGACAACCGTACACGTGTACCCAAAAAATTCCCCATAAAAAATTAAAAAATCTTCAATTAATATTTCCAAATCTCATGTTAAAAGAATTTAGCCGGTGTTTGATTGTTGTTTCCTGATCAAAATTAAAAAGTAAAGATAATTAATAAAGAGGAGGCATAGAAAACATGAATCATTGTAAATTTATTTTAAAAATATTACAAAAACAATTTTATTTTATATTCTTATTTTTATCATCCGTCCTACACTAACACATAAATATTTTTAAGTGTTTTAATTCTAACGAACTCCTCTGTTTCAAAATTTGAATTTATAGAGTAACATAAGAACACATATCTCTTTAACAACTTGTCCGCATTCGATTAATTTTTTATGATACATGTAAAGTAATTAGTTGGTTTGCTTTAAAAAAGGATAATACAAGGGAAATAATAAGTTGAGATACTTTTATTATTCTATTTTTTATTTATATTTTTTCTAAAAATACATCTTACAAAATAACTAATAAAGTATTAACAATTCCTATCATGGTGCATATAATCTAAACGCAAACATCTATATATTTATAAATATATGAAAATGAGAAAGAAACCAAATGATTCATCCCTATGTTTTCTAATGATACGTTAGGGATGGCTATCTCCTCATCCCTATGTGCGGACATCGAGAAGAAAGTTCACAAATTGTGGGTCCTGAAGTTGCGTCCGCAAACTTTCTTCTTCTTCTTCTTCTTTTTAATTAATATCTGAATTTAGTTATCTCACATGTATTTTTAAACTAATTTTTTTTTAATAATTCTAAATTTTATAAAATTTAAAATAATAATATAAAGAAAGTAAATTATACCGACTAATTAAGCTACAGGTTTGAAATTACAATAAATTGTATTTAAAAAAATTTTAATTTTAATTTTATATATTTCTAAATTATTTTGATATTTTAGAGTAAAAGATAAATCTCAAAAAACAAAAAATAAACATATTGTTCTAATACATTTTAACAATCTAGTTTTTTTACGTTTGTTATAAAAAATATATTTTTTAAAAAATTACTACTTCAATATATTTAAAAAAAGAGCATTATAAAAAAAAAACCACCATTGCCGAACTACTAACACTTTGGAAGAAAACATCCAAAAGAACAAAATAGGAGGACTTTGCAAGGACTAAGAGACCATAAAAAACAAAGAGGAGGTAGCAAAGCCTCCCGTATTTGTCGACCAAACATGTACCAAGCCACCGACATTGACCTGAAAATACTAGCAAGGCACAAACAAATTAATGCGTGCATCATCTAGACGGAAGAGGTCAGAAGAACAGCAGCGTCGTCACAAAAGGGATGATATTATAAACACAACAACAGTACTAAGGTCCATCATGACCACTGGATTTGAATCCAATGGTTGTTGTCGGACGTTGACCCAAACATCCCTTAATTTAATTGTCCTTGCATTTTCAGACCAAAAAGATGAGGAAATGTGGACTTGGGAGTGGAAATATCGTCGCTGCTGCCCAACAATCTTTCATCACCCGGTGGTTTTGAGGTGCACATCTCACCCTTCTATTTTGTTAATCAATTCCAAGGTTAAGCTGAGGACAGCCGCCGGGTTACAGAAATTGATTGTAACATTTTAAAAAAATAAAAATTCTTAATGTATTGGGTTAATATAAAGGATTGTTTCTTACAATTATTCAAAATAAAAAATCATTCTATGTATAAAATGGTTCGAAATATCTATACCGTGAAAATAAAAAACAATATAAAATAGAGAAATAAGGACTCTGCCTCTCTTAGAAAGAGAGGGAATGGATAACCTTTTTTAAGGGTTTATGTCAGGAAAAAAAAAACTCTAAAAAAAAAGAATTTAGTAGAATATTTTTTTATATATACTGTACCAGAAGACTTATCTTTATCACAATTTTTGTTTTTGTTTTCCAATCCAATAAGATTAGATCACTGATCAAAAAGGGAGTTTAGAACATAACTCCCTCTTTTCCATTTCAGTTAGATAATGAAAATATTTAATTAATAATAGATATTATGCATCCACGTTTACACCACAGAAGCAATCATACGGTCAGAGACTGAAGAAAGCAACTGAGAGTGAAAGAAACGGAGGTGCACGCACCATCACCATCGCCATTGGAAAATGGAACCTTTTGCTTTTATCAGCAATAATTTGACATGCGTGTAACCCTACCATGATATTTATACGTCTCACCAACCTTGTTGACCTCATTGTTTAATGACACAAGATAGTCTCTCTGCGTCAAATCTTATAAATTATATGAGTTTGTTTATAAGGTTTTATGGAACGAAAGATATATTATCAATTAATTAACAAAATTTGCATTGGGATAATATCATAGGCTCATAGCCAGTCTTTAGACGTCGAACCTGGGGTTTTAATCTTACTATATTTTGGATGGATAGCTAATGTGAGATTTTGGGTTTTTATTTTTTTATTTTAAGTCTGGTTAGGAATAGGAGCACCACGATGGTATTATTTTGAGTCTAGTTAGGAATACGGCACCACGATGGCGCTCCCTGTGTTTTTAAAACAAAAATATATTGTCGCACCGCGCTATGCATTTTAAATAGTAATTTTCAGTATTGATACCTAGATTAAAAGATTTTTTATTTTAAAAATAATTTTTTTATGTATTTTCATATAATTTTTTTAAAAATATTATCTCAAAAAAATATATTATAATTGACAAAGCACGGTCGAATGATGTTTCTGGGCATTTCATCCGGCCAAAAATGACTAGAGAATTGACGGAGAGGGGTTTTTGGAAACAAATAATAGCACTTTGGAAGAAAACATGCGAAGGGACTATACAAAGATAAGAGAGCATAAAAAACAAAGACTAGGTAGTCAAGCCTCCCATATTTGCTGACCAAACAGGTAACAAGCCATTTAACAATGGAAAAACTGTGACCATTGACTTGAAATACTAGCTAGGCACAAAGTCGTGCATCATCTGGATGAAAGAGGTCAAAACAACAGCAGCAGCACAAAAGGAATGATATTATGAACACAACAACACGAAGGCCCATCATGACCACTGGATTTGAATCCAACGGTTGATTCCGGACGTTGACTCAAACCATCGGTCTTCTGAACTTGATTTCCCTTTACATGATTGTGCATGGCGCCGAGGGATAGTACTCTTCACAAACATATGCACTTCTGCACACATAGTAACCCCTTATGCACTTCTGCACGCATAGTAACCCCTACTTCGGCAACTACAACAACCATCACACCCTGACATTCTACAAGGTACATAACAATGTGCAGGAGGTGTTGGCATACAAAAGTGATCACAACATGGGCCTCGGCGGCATTTTTCACAACATGTGCATGGT